GTGAAAGGGCTCTGCATCCAGCCGCTCAGGACAAGCATCTTCGCTGATATCTGCAAGACACAAGAAGACAAAAACACTGATGGAATTCTGGTTTATAATTACAATGAAGGTAACTCAGAGAGCTAGATTAGTTCAGATCACAACTCAAAATGTGACATGACCAGCATCACATAGTGGTGGATTTTTCTTTCTTTGATTATTTTTATTCATGGTGGTGGTTTATTATTTTTTTTAATCCTTGGGTATTTGTGAAAAAGACTTGCACAGAGCGTGACATTGTACATTTTTGAGTGATGGATAAGTCCAGAGCGCAAATTCTACTGCGTGATTTTCACCTTTCGTGGTGTGTTTCTGAACCGCGAAAAAAAGCGATTACTATACATTGATACCTCGCTATTTTGCGCTTCATTTTTCGTGGCTTCCGTGCATCACATTTTAAATTTTTTTCCAAAGTACTGTATTCAGAAAAAAATGTCGAACAATTTGCCTGATGAAGCCTGATTAGATGGGAGTGGAAAATTTCATTGATAACTGTTCATCTCGTCATCACACTTGTGATTCTTAATCTGAGACTCGCACGAGAATATTTGGCCACAATCTGAGCAGGAAAAATGTTTCTCACCCTTGTGGGTTCCTGTGTGTCCTCTTCGATGTGTCTTCTGATGGAATCTTTTGCCACAGTCTGAACAGGCAAAAGATTTCTCATCATTGTGTGTTGTGGTGTTTTTTAAGGTTCTCTTGTCAGAGGATTTGTGGTCAAAAACTGAGCAGGAAAAAGGTTTCTCACCAGTGTGGGTTCTTGTGTGTACTATTAAGTATCCCTTCCAGGGGAATCTTTTTCCACAAACTGAGCATGAATAGGGTTTCTCGCCAGTGTGTGTTCTGGTGTGTATTTTTAAGGGTGTCTTCTGAGAGAATCTTTGGCCACAAACTAAGCAGGCAAAAGGCATCTCACCAGTGTGGATTCTCACATGTATTTTCAAAGCACTCTGAAAGGTAAATATCTTCCCACACTGAGAACATTTCCAGGGTTTGTATTCAGTGTGACATGTCAGATCACCATCAGACTCTTCATCCTCATCATCATCAACATTTGATGTGTTATCACCGTCTTTCGTGCAAGGGTAATCTGGCTCCTCCTTTCTTTTAATGTTTCGGACCTGCTGTTCTTCCTCTTTGTACTCCTCTTCCTCTTAAACGTGAAAGGGCTCTGCATCCAGCCGCTCAGGACAAGCATCTTCGCTGATATCTGTAAGAAACAAGAAGACAAAAACACCCATGGAATTCAGTTTTCTAAATACAATTAAGGTTACTCAGAGAGCAAGATTAGTTCAGATTACAACTCAAAATGTGACATGACCAGCATCACATA